TTTTTTTGGGACTACACAGGAGCCCGACGATTTCACGAACTTCACGGAGCTCGAGGACGATGTGGAGCCACAAGAAGATGTGTTGCCGGGTGGCACGGCAGCCGACAAGGCGGCATTGGAGTTGGCAACTCAGCTGCGTGCCAGGGAAAGCCTCGACAAGGAGGACCCGGTTGCCCCTCCAGGACCCGTTCCCGCAGAGTGCTCCCGGAAAGACGTGCCGGACAAGCAGCAGCTGCTGGATTTGTGCACCAGCGACGCAGCTCTTCCGATTGCTGCTGCGAAGGGTGACCCGAGCACCTTGAAGGGAGTGCTGGAGCAGGCGACCCGAAGATTGGGCCACGTGCCGACCGAGTTCGCTCACATCTCCACGGAGTTGTGGCAGCTGCTCCGTCACCTGCGTGCTTTTCCACACGGCTGCGATGCTCTCCACCTGAAGCACAAGCCGCCCACAGAGAAAATTCGCAAGCTCAATTGGCATCAGTGGATGGAGAGGGAGGCGGCGCTCTTGAAAGAGTGCCCCAACACCCGGACAGGCCGATTGGCGAGCTGGCGGTATCTAGCTAATAAGGCCTGCAGCACATTGTCCACCGAGGTCCCGGAGACTATCGACTCAGGCGACTGCATCCTCGTGCAATCCCCGGCTACAGACTGTTGGGTCCCGGCTGTTGTGTTGACAGTGTGGAGAAACGCTAGCAAGCAGATCCGTCCCAGCCCGTGCCAGTTGCCCATCAGTTCTCTGCGAGGCTTACGCTGTGTCGAGCTTGCCTGTGTCGGCGACAACACGTATGAGTGCGGTGCATTTTCACCATGCTTCAAGGTGCCTTTGGAGCGCATTTGCTGCGTGCTTGCCATCAAGAAGTATGATGCTTCCCACCACCGGTTTCGCGTGACATTGACAACGCCAGCAGCCAGAGCAGTGACGACGTCCAGCAAAGCACCAGTCTTCCCAGAGCGGTTCTTGAAGTGCTCTGCTGCCGCCGACGTCGTGGAGCAGCCGGTGCCGCCAGCAGCGCCGTGCAAAAAGAGCAATGCCAAGCGCGCCGTGAAAGAAGAGATCCCCGCTCGAGCAGAGAACTTTACAAGGTTCCAGGCCGGTCACAAGCTGATTAGGCAGGAGCTCACGAAGTTGCGAGACCTTGAGGACAAGCTCTTTACCGAAGACCCTTCGTTCGACGCTTCGGATGTTTGCACGCAGGGCTCCGCGCAGCTTTCCTGGTCCCATGTTTTGGAGTATGCGCCCGAGTACTTCTCCCGGCACTTCTCCCAGTTCCGCGGCAAGACTTTTGGCAATGCCATGTGGGCTTGGATGGACCGTGCGGCAAGGGAGATGAAGACCGGCAAGCGAATGGTGCCTCAGCAGCAAATCTGTGTGACACTTCGGGATTTGAATGCGACCTGTGCTGTGCAAGGAGTGGAAAAAACTTCTTGCAGAGCTTCCGCAGATCTCTGCAGGACTTGAGCCCGCGACCCCAGCAGTGGTGCAAAGCTTTGCTTGTTATCTTTTGCGCCCGCTGCTGCCTGCTTCGCCGAGGCCAGCCACCAGCGCGAAGTGAGGTCA